GTAAACTAGCGTAAAAATCAAAGATGGCACCAAATTTTCTGTCATGATAGCCAAACATAATACAATTCAACTAAGAAAGACTGAATTTTAGGTCAGGCGTGGTGGCTCACGCCTGTGATCCCAGCACTTTGGGAGGCCGAGGTGGGCAGATCACCTGAAGTCGGGAGTTGGAGACCAGCCTGACCAACATGGAGAAACCCCATCGCTACTAAAAATATAAATGGCCACGCCTGTAATCCCAGCTACTTGGGAGGCTGACAGGAGAATTGCTTGAACCTGGGAGGCCAAGGTTGCAGTGAGCCGAGATCATGCCATTGCACTCCAGCCTGGGTAACAAGAGCGAAGCTCTGTCTCAAAAAAAAAAAGAAAAAAAAAAAGAAAAACTGAATTTTAAAAGAATCATTTTGATGTATTTTTTGGATTTCTTAAGCCTGAGGTAGTAATCAGCCTGTTATTTTAATTAGACAAGCACTGTATAGCTTAAATCTTCCTTATTTCACACTAAAACATTTTTCTTCATCTGAACTTTTATAACATTTACTGTTTGTGCTAGTCATTTAGGGTTAATTATAAAATGAGTATTCTCAATGATCATTTCATGTGAACATACTTCTTAATTCCCCAAACAACTTTGTACTCCCAAAAAATAAGTCCAATGTTTTACACTTATATCCCCCATATCTCACTCTCTAGCACAATCACTAACTATATGTTCACTAAGTATACTTTTCTGAAGTGTATGGTTCAGATATGTTTTGAAAAATATAAAGGATATATTAAAAATTATAATCAATATTCTAAAAGATGATAAAAGGTCAGGATGCCATTAAACAAAAACTAGAATGATTTATTGGAAATTAAACATGCAAAGTAGAATAAAAAGATGAAGAGTGTAAAATCAGAGAAAAGATAAGAATTATAAAATAAAACCAGATAATTTCACAGAACTGAAGGATGTAAGTTTCTACACTGAATGTGATCACACAAGTAGCCAGCCCAATAAACAGAGCAAGACCACACAAAGATATATCAAATACTGAAATGTCAGAACATCAAGAATAAGAGAAGATCAATAAACTTCAGAGAGAAGTAAGAGGTTATAGACAAAGGTTGTGGAGTCACAATAATATCAGACTTCTCTATAATTACCTGGAAGCTAGAATACAATTGAAAAATTACTTTAAAATGAAGAAAAAGCATTTCCAATCTTCAATTTTATACCCAGCCAAACTATAAAATGTAAAAACCTACAAGGTCTACAAAAATTTACTTCCCTGGCACTCTTCCTCAGGAAGCTAATTAAGAATACATTTGGGCTGGGCGTGGTGGCTAACTCCTGTAATCCTAGCACTTTGGGAGGCCAAGGCGGGTGGATCACAAGGTCAGGAGTCCAAGACCAGCCTGGCCAAGATGATGAAACCCCATCTCTACTAAAAATACAAAAATTTGCTGGGTATGGTGGCAGGTGCTTATAATCCCAGCTACTTGGTAGACTGAGGCAGAAAATTGCTTGAACCCAGGAGACAGAGGTTGCAGTGAGCCGAGATCATACCACTGCACTCTAGCCTGGGCCACAGAGCTAGACTCCATCTCAACAACAACAACAAAAAAAGCCTGGGTGTGGTGGCTCACACCTGTAGTCCCAGCACTTTGGGAGGCTGAGGCGAACAGATCACAAGGTCAAGAGATCAAGTGCATCCCAGCCAACATGGTGAAACCCTGTCTCTACTAAAAGTATAAAAATTAGCTGGGTATGGTGGCACGTGCCTGTAGTCCCAGCTACTAGGGAGGCTGAGGTAGGAGAATCATTTGAACCCAGGAGGTGGAGATCGCAGTTAGCTGAGATCATGCCACTGCACTGCAGCCTGGTGACAGAGCGAGACTCCGACCCACAAAAAAATAAAAAATAAAAGAATACAGTTGGCTGGGTGTCATAGCTCACACCTATATTCCCAGCACTTTGGGAGGCCAAGGCAGAGGATCACTTGAGGCCAGGAGTTTGAGATAAGGCTGGGCAACATAGTGAGTACCTATGTTTACAAATAATTTATTTTTTTAATGAGCTAGGTATGATGGCATGTGCTTGTAATCCTAGCTACTTGGAAGGCTGAGGCAGGAGGACCACAGGAGCCCAGGAGTTTGGGGGTGCTATGAGCCATGATCGTGTCGCTGCATTCCAGGCTGGGCAACAGAGGGAGACCCTATCTCTATTATTCAAAAAAAAAAAAAAGCAAAAATATGCATCATTAAAGAAAAAGGAGATCCAAGAAACAAAGGAATCAACACAGAAGAAGGAATTCCTCAAAAAGTGATCAAGAGAAATCCCAGGATGACACCTGTGTAGCAGGCTTATTAAAAAAAATGTCCAGAGCAGAGGGAAAGAAGTGACTGTTCCAGGAAGAACGTATACAGTATTAACATGGACCTGAGGAATAAGTTGATATGACTGATCATACTGCTAACTCTGTGGCTAAGTTAGTGGGAAGTGAAGAATTAAGCAAATAAAATAATGAGGCAACTGAGTAATTTTTGTTGTTTGTTCTTTTTCATTCTTTGAGACAACTGTTAATTCCAAGACAGACAAAAAGCTTAACACAAAAATAAATCACAGTAAAATACCTGACTTAGCGGTGAATACTTACGTAGCTCTAATGCTTTAATCTTTGAGTATGTAATCAAAAATTGTTTAATAACTGGAAGATTGGAGCAATAGGAAGAAGAATGATATAAAAGGAAAGAACTAAATCCTCATCTTCCATGGGAATAAATCTATAAACAATATATACAATTATTTTTTTCTGTCCAGTGAATGGAATACAGTGTTTTGGGTTTTATTTTTTAGATGGTCTTATTCTGTTATCCAGGCCATCGTAGCTCACTGCACCCTCGAACTCCTGGGCTCAAGCAATCCTCCAACCTTGGCCACCCAAAGTTTTGGGATTACAGGAGTGAGTCACAGCACCCAGCCTACAATTGTTAAATGAAGAAACCAGAGTGTAAACTTGTTTCTCAGAAACAAGGGTATGAAGAGCTAAAGAACAGCTATGAGGCTGGGTGTGGTGGTGAGCACCTGTAGTTTGTGCTACTCTGGAGGCTGAGGCAGTAGGATTGCTTGAGCCAAGTTAGAGGCTGTAGTGTGCCACAACAGCCACTGTGAATAGCCACAGCACTCCAGTCTGGGCAACATAGTGAGACCCTGTTTCAAAAAAAAAAAAAAAAAGGAACTGATCATGAGTTAAATCATGAGAATAAAACCCAAAACACTGTATTCCATTCACTGGACAGAAGAAAATAATTGTATATATTGTTCATTGATTTATTCCCATGGAAGATGAGGATTTAGTTCTTTCCTTTTATATCATTCTTCTTCCTATTGCTCCAATCTTCCAGTTATTAAACAATTTTTGATTACATACTCAAAGATTAAAGCATTAGAGCTACGTAAGTATTCACCACTAAGTCAGGTATTTTACTGTGATTTATTTTTGTGTTAAGCTTTTTGTCTATCTTGGAATTAACAGTTGTCTCAAAGAATGAAAAAGAACAAACAACAAAAATTACTCAGTTGCCTCATTATTTTATTTGCTTAATTCTTCACTTCCCACTAACTTAGCCACAGAGTTAGCAGTATGATCAGTCATACCGATGATCATGAGTTGAAAGAGACTGTGAGGCTGTTTATAAAAAACAGGACTCAAGGGTCTGGAAGGACAGAACAGGGAACTGCTTTGTTTTTATATAAATTATTTAACTTTTAAGACTATTACATCTGATACTTTGAAAAATAATTTTTAAAATTTGGATAGTAGCCAGGCACACTAGCTCATGCCTATAATTACAGCATTCTGGGAGACTGAGGTGGGAGGAT